TGCGTTGAAGCCTCTTTTCCCCATTGTTTAAAAATTCATATCTTCCAGAAAAATAAAGATATAGACTTCTTTCTGGGCTCATCTTAAAGATAAATTATGTGGCTATTTTTTAAAAAATCGTGATTTTATTTAAAAATAGCCGATTCAAAATGGCCAATTAAAACATCATTTTTTTGAAAATTTATTTTTTTCAAAAATTGTTAAAATTTGTTTAATTAAAATGTAAATTGGTATAAATGTTATTGAAAGATGTATGGGATTCAATATGCAGCGCGCGCCTGTTGTGTACTAGTGCATTAAAATATTGAAACATAAATCCGAATAGATATTTAATAAAGAAATTATTTTTCTTCGTAGATTCAATTCAGTAGAGTTTATCCAAAGGGACAACGTATCGATTCATCTAATTATAATCCTGTACCAATGTGGAATTCTGGTTGTCAAATGGTAGCTTTAAACTATCAAACTGGAGATAAATCAATGCAATTAAATCAAGCCAAGTTTATGGAGAATGGCAATTGTGGCTATTTATTGAAACCAGAATTCATGTTCAGACATGACTTTAATCCATACGACAAAAATACATTGTACGGGGTTGAATCACTTAAGATTAATTTAAAAATTATTGGCTCAAGACATTTAATGAGATCAGGAAGAGGTACTGCCAGTCCATCCGTTGAGATCGAAATTATAGGCGCAGATTTTGATTCGGGAACAAAGTTAACAACAAGGACAATACGTGAGTATCTATAAGTATTTCAAATTACAGTTTGATTAAACATTATATTACATTACTAAATATAAGTCTTAAATTTATAGAGGATAATGGATTTAATCCAATGTGGAATGAAACCTGTGAATTTGAGATAGTTAATCCATATTTTGCTCTTATACGGTTTTTAGTACAAGACGAAGATATGTTTGGCGATAGCAATTTCATAGGACAAGCTACTTATCCAGTGAGTATTAATCGTTATTTAAAAACATTTATGTTTAACGTTATTTAGGACATTTTTACTTTCCAATTCAAATCTTATTTTGTTCAGGTACGCTGTTTAAGAACAGGATATAGAAGTGTTCCATTAAAAAACATATATAGCGAAGATCTTGAGCTTGCTTCCTTATTAGTACACATTAATATTACAACTTTATCGGTAATGAGACATTTCATCCAAAGAAATATATATTTCTCATGATATTGATATTTAAATTAAAATTTATGTGATTTAGTTTCACTTTAATAAAATTTTTTGTTCCATATAGGTACATGATACATAAAATAAAATAAGAAAAATTAAATTTGTATTATAGAATATGCAATCTAGCAAAACTAGTAAATTAGTGTATGAGATAAAGAGTAGGTATTTACCTGAGATAATTATGTTGTACGCTTGCGTGTGTATAAGAGTATATTAATATATATCATGTGTTTGTTTCAGATGATACAAGTCATGGTAAGTGACACACATTGCGATAGTACATGATGGCATAAAAGTAACATATGTTTTAGATCAGACTACATATCATTAGAAGACTGTATATTTATGTTGAACAAATTAAACATATAATTGCATTAAATTGTTAAAAATATTTCTATAATTGCAATATGAAACATAAAATAAATCTGAATATATGCTCTCTCACTGAGAAGAATATGGAAGAATTAAAATTTAAAATAATTAGTTAAAAAGCAAATTCTCTCGGGAGATAGGGAAACAATATATGCATATATAAATGCATAATAGATATAGGGATTTTATTGCTGTAATATATATAGGCATATATATTTAACAGCATATTTAATTTTGTTATACACACGCGCGTGTGCGTGTGTAACAAAATTATGATATATATTTTTAATAATTTATGCTATTAATAATATATCGATTTTCTTAAAAAAAATAGCTCTACATATCATATGACTGAACAATTTTTTTTGTAAAAATTAGTTTATCAAATCACATGTTTCGTATAATTATAATATCAATATAATTATTTTTAATTTTGAATACGAAAAAAATAGTTGTATAATGTATGCAATGAAGAGAATCTAGTTATAAATATCTAGATATAAATAAAAAAGAGAAATGTAACAAATAGCACAAATATATTTTATAATTGGCAGTATATCAAACATATTATTACGTAGATGTAATATGATTGTGTTTGACATGAAATACAGAAATAGCATATAATACATGGATGTCTGTAAATAGTAAGTAAACAAAACAACTTTGTATATTTGCCTACAATCTGCAACTGTCAGTATCTAAAATTGTAACATAAATTTGTATACAAAGAGAGGTAACATGCATGTAACTCGCGCTTACACACACACGCGCGCGCGCGCACGTACGCGCGCATATAACGCCTCTTTTAATGGAAAATTAATAATTGTATTCTATGGAAATACGCAAAACTTTTATCTCCTCTAGTTAAAAATAGATATTATTGATTAAAGGAATTCATTAAAAAAATGTATATTCAACGCAAATGATCTATCGTTTACTATGTAGAATCAGTGAGTGATGCTCAATTAAATCAGAATAATCAGATATATATTTTTCCATTATATAGCATATATAGGCTCTTAGTATTTTACTATTATATCGTTATTAGGTATTTAGGTATGTATCTCTCGTGGACATTTTCAGTAGGGAACGTCTTTTTCAATAATTATGCACATTGTGCATTAACTATGTAACTGTTTTACATATTTACAGTCTTCCCAATTGTAGTACATGCTAAAATTACTGATGTATTAGTTCTCTTATATATTTTTATTGCGTTATACATTAAAATGTTACATTTTGCTTATTGTTTGATACTTTTAAATATGTATATTTGTAAATCAGAATTGGAGAGAGAGAGAGAGAGAGAGAGGCGTGCACGCGTGCCTGTGCGTCTACTTAACGCTCGCAAATATTACTTGTCCTTGTATGACATTTAATAAACAATAAAGATGAAATTATTCCGCAAGAGCGTTGCGAGCAAGTTTAAAAATGAAACGCAGCCTCTGTATTATAAATGATATACAATGACATATCTGTGAAGAAAGACCAATAAATGCATGATGAAAAATTCGATGTAGTAAAGTTTGCTTTGTTACAAGTAGATACGACTAGACATATCAAATATATTAGTTTTGTAGAGTAATGTCACAAATTATAAATATGATTTCTAAAAAGGATCAAGATATATGTGTAGATATGTATGTTGGATGTGTATATTTATTTCAGCATACATATATACATATTATGTCGCAAAACATAATAAATTTTCATATGCATTTTTTTATATATTTTACATATAAAAGATCTAACATTGGAGATAGATAGACACAAGAATAATGATAATAATATGTTTAACAGAAATATATGTATGTGTTCTAAGTTACAACTGTAGGCAGCTTCTTATAAAGCGTTTTTAAGATACTCGTCAAACAGGAATACGGAAACGGAAGCATCGCGCTCTTCCAGCATATTCTTGAGGTCATTTGAATAACCTGCTAGCTGTCTCACACGCTCGGACAACGATTCCATGAAATGTTCCTCGATATAATGACCGATAGCCGCATCCTGTTTGGTATGATGCTGTGCTTGAGCGTGAATGCGTAACGCTTCGTCGGCAAGTTGTTTCTGGCTGTCGAGTGCTTTAGCCAGACTATTCAATTCGGTCAATTCCAGTACTTTGCTATCCTTGATCTATAAACAATAATATTGATGAAACCACCATGTTTCCATAAGAATGAGTTTCAAAATAAATAGAGTACTCACAGGTTTCTTGGAACGTGGAAGCTGATTGAGATCCATCTTGCCACCACGCTGTGCGATGTATTTGATCAAATCTATCGCTTCCTCCCATGATTTATCTGAAAGTTTGCGGTACAGTCCCTTAAATCCTTCTCGATTAGCTTCATAGTTTCCAAAATGTGTAGACATTAGAAGAAATTCAAAACTTGTTTCGATATTAGCGTTTGCATATGCCTGCAGATCAGCCTGAAGAGTATCAATAGCTCCATATTTAGCATTACAGTTTGATATTAATCCACCATCTAGAAGCATCATTAAGAACGCACTTGTGTAGGTATTTTGCGCTTTCAAGAGGTATAATTAAATGTTTGTGTGAACCAAAAATTAAGGATTAAACAAACGATATCACAAATTCAATAAAATAATGATCTGAAAGAGTTGTTTTTAGAATTCTTAAATAATTTCATTTCAAATAAATATCCACATACTTTTGGGATTGGTGCCACAAGCACTTTCAACGTCGGTGTAGCAGTACTCTGCGGAAACGGTCAGGAAAAGAACAGACAATACTCCAAAGAACAACATTTTTGCTGAAATTTAACAGATTATAAAAATATATATATATATATATATATATATATATATATATATATATACGCGCATAGAACAATAATATACACTTGTATTAATTATATTGTTTGAAAAGATTAAGATCGGTAAAAATTATTGAAAATTAAAGGAAAATATGTCTGAATTAATTTTCAGTTCAAATCTGCCGATTTATAAAAACTAGCTGTATTGACGATAATAATGATAACACGTACGAGTGTCCTTGCGTTGTTTTGAAGAAATCGAAGAGACAACAATATCACGACCGAATCACGACTCACGAGACAATTATTCGATAACGGACATGAAATAAGAGAATCGAAGCTACCGAGATACTCGCTCGATTCGTATATTTTGAATTTCGAATTCACTTTGAAAATTGTTTGCGAGATAAAAGATCAATCTTTCTCTCTCTCTCTCTCTCTCTCTCTCTCAAAAGCCACATGTGCCGCACGCGATTGCTCGTGCTACGTAGTGCGAACGTAGTCTGCACGGTGGCGCGAACTGCACGACGCGACGTAGAGTGTAAAATGTAGACCGCGTAGACACGAACCGACATGACCAACACACCAAATCAAGTGCGCAACACGTTTATACCCCGCGCTGCGCGAAGAAACAAAGATGCCAGCTTGAGAAACGCAACGCAAGGAGCTGTTCTCTTAAGAATATCTTTTATCTACATACGTGCGGAAGGGAATTATCGGAGCAAGCTTGAGTGATCTCTCGAGTACCTCTCTCGTCACGAAACCTGTGGTATGCAACGCGTTCGATGGGAAGGCAACGTGAATACTCTCGCTTCGACGTTCCCCCAACAATGAGCTTTACCCACCGCGGAAATGGGAGTTTTCACTGGGCAGTGAGTCAGCGAGTCAGCTGACGGGGGAGGCGGCGTGGCGCGGCGCACGCGCAGGCCGCCCCGTCACGGTGCACCAAGAGGCTAGCGGGACGGTAAACGGAAGAAGAGAGAGAGAGAGAGAGAGAGAGAAGAGAAGCGGATTTCAACGCCCTCGCTATCCGTCGTCGTCGTTGTCGTCGTTTTACCCCCTCCCCCTGCCTGTGGCAAAAGTGCGAATGTCGATTGTCGCGCGCGTTTGCCCGGGCGATTGTCGTGTCGTGGATTGTCGTTAGGTGATCGATGAGACCGTAAGACGCGTTTAGTTGCCGCGCTCTCTTATCTAGCTCCGACGAAGGCAGCCTTCTATACCAGTGTGTATAAAGGTTGCTTCTCAACGAGGTGAACGATCCGCCGTGCCGTGCCGCGCCGCGCATCCTATCGCCAGACGCTTCTCTCATTCCCATTCTCTCATTCTCGTCGGGATCCCATAACCTCTGCTCTACTTGCCCAGGCTCGCACCTTTTCGCTGTCTTTCACTTTCTCTCTTGCGCGCGTGTGAAATCACGATGACGAGATTGCTCTATGTCGTTTTCATCACCCTGGCCTGCATCAATGGCACCTTCGGAGACGGGCTCAAGTGTAAGTTTTCAATCGACATGCGTAGTTTCTCTCGCTCCCTCCCTCCCTCCTCCTCCTCCTCTTTGCCTCTTCTCTCTTTCGCCTTCCAACGACACGCCGTTACACCTACCTGCACGTTGCGTTAATTTGCAGAGAATTTGCATCTAGCGCTAGGCGTTCTTAGAAAGTCAACATTTTTCGGCGTCGCTCTTTCATTCCTTAACATTCCGTCTCTCCTAGTTTCTCCGATATACAAAAAATGACTTTGTCATTTCCGTGCCTTTTCCAACGTGATATCAAAAAAATACGACGAGGGAGGTGGTCAGGGTTGGGGGGAGGGGCGCTCTGCGTGAGACGCGCCTCGTGGGAAATGGAATGACTCCGCGTAAAAAACAGTTCATGAACGCAATAGTTTGTTTTGATTGAGCAATCAGACCTTTGGATGTTGTCCAAGCTCTTTAATTGGCCCGTTTTCTCACTCGTATAATTCCGATAAAACTTTCAATGGCTTCTCTGTTGTCCATTGTTGTTATTTATCCTTCCAAAATGGCTGTATAAAGAATAAAATAAGAATAATAATATTGTATACAATTTTTGTAAATATTTCACGAATACGTTTCTCGGTAGAAACATATTATTGTACCTATTGTTTTATGTAAAATCTTTGATCTAGACACATGTATGTCAATAATACGCACAAGTACCAACGCTTTTACTTTATAAGATACCGCCTCGCGCTTTTATCTTAAGATAGCCTAGCATAAATCCTCTCTTTCACTTGAAATCGTTTGGTTAAGCATATTATTATCGTTGCAAATCATCTTTGTTCATTACAAAAGTGAAGATAGTAGACGAAACGTGACTTGGACGAATCGTTCCAAGGATAGCCTTTGTTTTTTCTTGATTCATGCATATCGGATATTTGTCATTCTCTGTATCGTGTTCGGTACAATTGACTAAGGATGTGATGAAATAACTATGTACGCCTAGATTAAATTAATCGTATATTAAACTGGCAGCATTAATATTGCATTTAATGTTAAATATCAACATCAATATGAATATATATATATGTATATATATATATATATAAAATTTGTATAGCCGACAAAACTTCTCGCTTACAACTTTTTCTAACGGATTACGTTAATCGAAATATCATCTTTTAATGAAAAATATAGTTTCGCCGTTATGTTCTTTGAAAGTTAGCAACAAATAAATGCATTTGATCTTTGTGACACATAGACATATACGTCAAAGTATTTTTCTATTCTTATCTGTATTATTTTTATGCACACATAGCATGATTTTATCTCATTTTTATAACCCGCGCGATTCAGTATTATCGCTTTACAAAGTATAAATGAGGATAAAACTAGAATTAGAGAAATTCAGTTAGGATAAATCAACATATAACTATTATCAGCACGATAAAGAGAGCTGTGTAGTCATTCGAATACGCAGTTGCCTCAACTTTGTCCTCTCGTTTTATATATACACACACACACACACACCATGTGTGCGTGTTTGTGTGCGCGCACATACATGTATATGATTATTTCAAATATCACATTTCAGTTTGATGAATATGCGACTTAACGATAATGGAAATTTGTACATTTATATTTGAAAATGTAAAGAAAGCATCTCTTTATTTCGTCATTTGGACAGAATTTTAATATAATTTCGAAAATTATATTAGTCTTATTGTAAAAAAGATTTTTCTTTTACTTATAATTATAGACGATTAATAAAGTCGTACATCAAATGTAATTAACACTTATCACACGTATCACGTATATCTCTTCTCAACGGCAAATTAATTCCTCTCATCATTGACTTGATCGTGTTTTGTACAAAGATAGCTTTTAACGATAAATCGTGACGATATTTACGTATCGATTCCAAAGTCCTTTTTCATCTGTGTGACTCATTCCACTGGGCATGTCTATGTCTTTGTGTGATACACAAGTCCATTATGATAAATAATGCTTCGTGATTTTGATCCATTCGTATATATATTCTGTAACGCAGATTTAATTACAAACAATTATAATTTACAGCTAATTTCATGTTAACTCAAATTGTATACATATAAAAGAAAATTACACATTTTACAAATTAATTAATTTATAATGTAAGCATTAACAGTAAGAATTAATTTTATCATTTGGAAATGACTTATATTTTTCCAATACGTAACTATAAATAAAAAAATAGGAGTAATGCTACACAAAAGAATCTCTTTCGCTACAATGAGATTATTTTTAATGTTAATCATTTTATCTGCACCCAGATGCTATCAACATTATGAGCGATCTGTCACGCATCGATAAAATACTTGATCTTTTTGATAACTTGGTGATAAAGTAATACGTGTTCTTGTTATCTACTTAAAGGATGGGTTATTACACAATATAGAAATTTCATCATAGGCACTTATATTAATTAAATTAATATAAGTTCAGTAAGACTTGCTTGTACATGTAATAATTAACCATTCTTTAATAATGTTATCTCACACCTCTTTAGGTATACTTAAACCTGCTGATATACCAACATCATGGATAGACATGACTGATCCGTGTACAAAAATCATGGAGTCTCAAGTTAAAACCGAGATGGAAGCAGCCATGAAATATCTTGCGATGGTATAAAGCTTAGTTTGCTTGTATATATTGTATATTTTTCATTCAATATAATCTCTACAACTTGTTAAATTAACAATAGAGAAAAATGACGCGTTATATTAATATATTAATTAAGATTCTTAATTTCTGACTAGGGTGCCCATTTTGCACGTGATACGATAAATCGCCCAGGTTTTAGCAAATTCTTTTTCGAAAGCGCGAGCGAAGAAAGAGAGCATGCGATAAAGATCATCGAATATCTGCTAATGCGTGGACAACTTACAAATGACGTTAGCAAGCTTCTAAAGTATCCTTTGGTAAGTATATTCTACATTCCACGAGGAAATATATACGAAAAAAGTTAAACAAATATTTTAGAAAATTGAGTAGGGATTGTGAAGAAATAATGAAAATAAAAAATATATATATACCTATATATAAACACAATGACACGGTTTATTCTCGTGTTATACAGACTACCAACAATACAAATCCCATACGCCAGGAATGGAACAGTGGAGAAGAAGCTCTCACCGACGCTTTGAAATTAGAGGCTCAAGTTACGCGCAGCATTCGTGAAATAATTATAACTTGCGAAAATCCAAAAACATCCTCTTTCAACGATTACCACGTGAGTATCGTTTGAGAATAAAAATTTATTTTATAGAAAGATCTTGTTAAAAGTTATATATATACATATACATACATAAGTTTTTTTTTCACCATCACGCCGCGATTGTTTGCAGTTGGTCGACTACCTCACTTCCGATTTCTTGGATGAACAATATAAAGGGCAACGCAATCTCGCCGGCAAAATCTCAGTATTGGGTAAAATGATGCAAGCGCATGGACCTTTGGGAGAATTTTTATTCGATAAGAAATTGTTGAACGGTGAAGTCTAGGTATTTTTGTGACATCAAAAGAAGCCGAAATTCACAGCTCGAGATATATATTCTTTTCTATAAATATATAAAATTTATAAAATTATAATGGCCACATTTAGAATTTCCATTGTATAATTCAGATTTTTACATTATGCATCCTTGTTTATACTTATTATAGAATACGAGATGTAATAATATTTTTCGTTTCGAGCATATTTCTAAATGTGACCTGTAATATTATAGGGAGTATGTGGAGCGTAATGTTTACAATGTTTGTTAATCCATAATAAGTATATTATCCTTGATAAAAAAATAAATAAATATTATTTTGAGATGTTGCATGTATCTGATAATAATTTTATTTTACTTACATGCTCTCATATTTTTTGATAGTGTCCATTGAAAATAGTCGTTCGAAATTAATCTATAATGTATGTAATTGCCAAAAAATACATGTTTATATAATCGTGTACACACATACACACAAAATCGCGCGTGTGTGTTTGTGCGTGTGTACAATTTTTTACAATTATATCTTGTATATTAATTTCGATTGACTATTTCATGTATATCTACGTACGCACGCGCGCGCGCGCGCGCGCACGCACACACACGTACGATGAAAGCTCGTAAAAGGATTTTGAAGAAAAATATCTCTTTCCTCTTCTTTATTTTTTTAATTAATATAATTACATGCAAAACATATTGCGTGTTATACTTAAGAAATATGAATAATTTGCTAAAGTGTCAAATATTTTCATAATAGTAATAAATGCAATTATAAATTTTATAATTGTACGTATATGTATAAATTAAAATACAAAACATTTTAAATATTTCATAAAGTACCTCGACATTCAGTATGTTATTGTTATCCAACTATTATAGCTTTTTAAGAGAACTGATTAATGAATGCGGCGGGAAAGAAGTATTGCTTTAAAATATAAAAAAATATCGTGCAAGATACTCTCTTATGTAGCTCTAGCTTTTCAAATTACAAATTAGAAGTTTATATATAGTTAATAAAATTATTTGAGAGAGAGAGAGTACAATTTGTTTGGGTAGAGTAAGGTTTATATATGTTTTTTTCCAAGTTAGGAGTGAATAATTGTTTTTCGTAGTTTACGTAATCTGTTGCACATCAACTTAATTCTAAATCGCTTATGTTTTCATTTGACAGGAAATTTACAACGCCTCGTGGTATATCAAGTGTTGGAAAGACATCGCAATATATAGCAAACTTTGCATGAGCTATTACAATAACAGCATTACCGGACACTAAAATTTGTATCAATCGAATAAGCGTAGTTACGTTATTCTTCCTTTTTAAGAATGATAACGCCTCTTGGAATACGATTTTGGATTACTTCTAATCTATCATTTTGAGAACAAAATAACCATGTTTGATTGATCTTGAGGAACAGCTTCGCGGTGCTACCTTGTCCAGTATTAAATTCCTAAAGAGAGAAAAAGATAAAAACAAGTTGTTGACAAGTTATTTAAAATAAAGAGACACAAACTAAGAGGTTAAATATATATATATATATATATTAAATCAAAGCGAACAACGCGTTGTAACGTGAAATAAATACCTATATGTTATACGCGTTGATACTGTAGAGATAATGAAATTAATTAATGTATGTACATACAGAACACTCGGAATATAAAATTTGTTTTCAGCAACACTCGCCTCTGATATTCTGTTTGCTATTGCGTCTCGGTATATATAATTGTAACGGTCTTTGCTTAATCATGCTGCTCGCAAAATAAAACATTCAGTAAAAATAAATCTCTTGATTATTATATACTATACATACGTCACGATTTTTCACGTCTTCCTCTTCTTCTTTAATTAGCTCGACTTCATATATCGAAATCAATCTTGACCACACTAGGTTTTTAAAATTATATGGTATACATTATTGTGATAAAAGATGGACCGATTTGAAAAGCAAATGCTGTCAATGCAGGTATGTATGTATGTACATAGAAAAAATGCCCTAGATAACATGTATAAAGAATTAAAGAGACTGCGCTTGCGCTCTCATTGAAATGATTGAAAACGTGAAAATACACGACGTAACTAGATACGTATGTATCTAGTTACCCCTAGTTACCTCAATGAGATACATATACATACGTATGCGCATACATAGGTCGAACAAGTTCCTAGGATTATCGCATAGCACGCACACAATTTTGCTTTGCAAGTTTTGCAAATGAAATAATTTTGATTTGTTTCTCCGCGCGCTGCTCTCTTTTATCGTTATCCTGTTTCCCAAATTTTTTTTACATCACACTTTCGAATGTTTGGTGAAATATTGGAATTAAAAACTATCAACACAAAAATATATATCGCAATTCTCTCGACATACGACTTAAAAATTTAACGAATCACAGTTGTGAAACTTGCGTCGTGAAAATCGTGCAACCAACTTTAGGCTTGAGGTAATGTGCAGTTTAAGTTTGCTGAAGGCTTCATATATGGGCACACAACGGAACGGAGTATGATTGATTGTGAGGTATAGAAATTTGAAGGTTTCTTTGAGGTTATTTCGTTGAGATAGCGTAATGTTTGTTAAACAGTGTATAGTGACACTATAATAGATTCGTTTGATAGATTGCGCGCTATGCGAACAAGGAGATTTGATATTTTGATATTTTGTGACGTACATACACAAACACACATCAGAGCAGAGGGCACATATATGTGGGCGGGCGTGCGCGCGTGCCAACGACGCGCGACCTGATCTGATACTCTTTTACGAAATAACCTAAAAGTCCTAAAACTAAACGTCCGTCCGTCCGCCCGTTTCGAGACCCGTCTCGTTTCGACAATTCTTGCTTTTCCAGATTACATCTGCGCTGCGTCCCATGACATCATCAGCCATGAGTTCCCATTGACTTCCTCTGGAATACTGCCGAATTTACGCGCGATTACGGCGCGTCCAACCTTTCTCGTCAATTCTAGTTTGTATCATGGCCCTACGTCGTGGAAAACGCAATCTGAAATTGCAGGTCTCCGACGAAACGCCTGCACCAGTGTACGTAAAGTACATACGATAGTACGTCGATGTGATATATCTGTCGTGATTGAGTGATTGAGTGATTAGTCATATTTTTATCTGTGTGATCTTTTGCGTTTGTTATAGGTATATTTGCGTACGGAAATTAGAAAATTAGAAAGATTTGCATAAGCAAGATTCAAAAGACACTTTTTTTTTTTTTATATACATATATAATTCCAGCTACATACATAACATACCTATTGCCTATTTGGAAAAAAACTTGCATGTGTGCATAGTACATTGGTGTACACGCATATACAAAGATAGAATGTGCATTTGAGAGATATAATAATGTTAATGTTTTATTTTAGGACACCACCAAGAAATTTAGACAAACGCACTACCATTACTATAGATGAAAAGACGTTTGTTGTAGAAGCGGATGATTTAGAAACACTTTGTGTACTTGGTCGTGGAGCATATGGGATTGTCGATAAAATGCGACACAAACAGAGTGGCACAATTATGGCTGTTAAGGTATTATTGTGAAAATGAGCCATTAGCTTTCAGCTAGTGATATTTTCGTTACATTATCATGTATAACAGAACATAACTGTTTGTTTGAAAAAAGAATATACTCATCTATTATAGAGGATAGCTGCTACCGTTAATACGCAAGAGCAAAAGCGATTGCTCATGGATTTAGATATTTCCATGCGTAGCTCGGCATGTCCCTATACAGTACAATTCTATGGAGCCTTATTTCGAGAGGGAGATGTATGGATATGCATGGAAGTGATGGATATGAGCCTTGATAAATTTTATACAAAAGTGTATAAACATGGTCGTGCCATTCCTGAAGATATTTTAGGAAAAGTGGCTTTTGCGGTATATATGTATATGCCTTTTAAATTTTTAAAAAAGGGCTCTTTAAGCCCTTGATATATATATATATATATAGCAGTGTTTTGGTAATATTTAAATAATTTCCCTCCCCTTCCTCTTCCCCTTCTTTCTTTTCTCCTCGATTTTCCGCTATCTTTTTGTATTTGAAATTTCAAACTGTGCAACTGTGCAAAAACTGTGTAAAAACGAATATCTATGTGTTATCATACATCTATATTACTTGCAGGTAGTAAGTGCGTTACATTACCTCTACTCGCAATTACGGGTGATCCATAGAGATGTAAAGCCTAGTAATATCTTAATTAATCGGAAAGGTGAGGTAAAAATTTGCGACTTTGGTATATCGGGTTACCTTGTGGATTCGGTTGCCAAGACTATCGACGCTGGATGCAAACCGTATATGGCTGTACGTAACTGTATAGTATTGTATTGTTGAAAATTTCCATTCAGTTGTCCATTCAATACATTATCCACCATTACCTTTTTTGTAGCCAGAAAGGATAGACCCATCGGGTAACCCATCGCAATATGATATCAGATCTGATGTCTGGTCGTTAGGAATTTCCCTTGTTGAATTAGCAACTGGTAAATTTCCATACGAGTCATGGGGTACGCCATTCGAGCAATTGAAACAGGTAGTGAAAGATGAAGCCCCGAAATTACCTGCCGGCAAGTTCTCTCCTTCGTTTGAGGAATTTATCAATAAGTGGTAAGTGATTGTCATAGAAAATGAGCGACAAGATACACACTCTCTTATCATCTAACTCAGAAACCAATCCAGCCTCCCACCCTTTCACACATAATCTACTGTTACTGTTTTCAGTCTGATGAAGAATTACACTGCCCGCCCAAATTACAGTCAATTGCTGGAACTCGACTTTATCAGAGAATATGCCCAAAAAGATACGAATGTAGCCGAATTTGTCGGAGAGATTTTAGACTTGCCAGAAAATGAGCAACCGATATAGTGCATACGTCACTTTGACATAGCTTGCAATATAATTTGACTTATAATTTGTATTTTTGCAAGACAGTCACACGAGATGCAGGCATTGTCATATGTAATTTATATTATCAGATAACGTTTGATCATTGTGTATCGAGATACAACTGGTACTCAATGGTTTATTCTTTATTTATCATCCTCGTCAGTAATTTTTTAATCGCATCTGGTCTACATACAATTGTAGCATTTACAAGTTTGGCCTGAAAATGATTGTTGTTACTTTGATATAATAATCTTGTCACGCATGGAAGCAAACACAGAAAATAATACGCACATGTTTTTCTATATGATGAAAAGCGATATAAGTTAACATTCGTGGCATTGTGGTAATAATAAAAAAAAATTGAATAAACTCGTAATTATGCCTTGTTGAGGTACATGCGCGCATCTTGAAAAAAATAACATAAGTTAGAAGACCAATTTATTGTAACGCTAGATTGTACATAGTAATCAAATGTGCGTAAACGAAATTGTATTTCTTTAGAAAACAGCTCCATTTATTAGCAATCAGTTGCAACGATTATATTAGTGATAGAAATTGAATTTGACAACGAATGTCGTATATATACATACGCCTAAGTAGAATTTACACACACACACACACACACGTGTTGAAGGAGTCGCCTTGTAAAAAATCCTTGATGTTTTCCTTTTCTAGATCCTGTGATCTAGTAATGTAATAAAAAAATTAATCTAGAATAAACGATAATTTAAATAGATAAATGATAATATAATCGTTTGAAAGTTGATTTTTAAACATACACGTGATATCAAAAATTGAAAATTCACAATTTCATAAAATAAAGTGTGTATGAAGCGATGGAAATTAATTCTTTTGTAAAAAGTTCTTCTAAATTATACTTTAGTTGTTTCGGATGTCGAATCAAGAATGTAGAAGCTCCTTGAAATCAAAGCCAAAAAGAGTAAAAACGTTTTTATTTATTTCAAATGATTTCGTAGTATCGCGCGAATATTCATCTATTTTTTCTAACTTACTATACCTATGTATGTATGTATGTACTACTTTACATTGCGCACTCAAATATATGTATTAACAATAATTGCTTATGCTTAATATAAGTGGTTTTTTGAGCGGTACCAAGTAGTGAGCGAGTAATCGATTCGCTACAAACAATTTGGCGGGAAAGCAAACTCCAATCACAAGATTGCTTCTTAAGACAAATCTGGGCTGCGTTCAGAAACCCAGGTACATCTAGATATCATTTTATCCTTGTTTAACATTCGGTGAATAACAAGGATAAAATGATGTATCGTGAATGCCTGAACACACCCCTGCATTGCGATTTGTTCAAGCTCGTCGATTTATCGCTGTTTCTAGTAATTTATTTGGACTCGGATTGGACTGTGTGTTGTGTGTGTGTGTGTGGAAGTGGAAGGTGGTGGAAAGTTTGGAACATGTCGGATTGTCTTGAGCCAACTATCGAGCTGTCGCGACACTTGACTCTGCAGCAGCCAACTCTGACCGCTATTAACATTTTTAGTCGCATTTTATTTAGTTTACACGCACTCTCTCTCTCTCTCTCTCTCTGGACTTGCTTCGACTCACGGCACCGACTACACTCGACACCGCGACTACACGGCAGGCACGCAGCACACGAGCCACGAGGCGGCGGCGGCAGCACGAGGCACGAGAGCGAGCAACAGTGGGTACGTCCAACGAGTAACTACCTAGTGAACGCAAACACCATCACACCATGTCGGTAGGCGCGCGGTGAGTTGCGGCAGTTGCGTCGCGACTCGCGAGTGCGGAGCGGATTGACGGCATTGACGCACGTCGATCAACGTCGATTGAAGAACGAATTGACGCAAATTGAGACGCGAGTTGACAAAAGTTCGTGTTACAAAAGTTGCTTCAAACGTCAACTCATCTCAAGCTACGAAATATTTCTCCTCTCACGGTTCTCCCTCGATCTCATCTCGTCTCAGGAAATATGCAGAAAATGGGCAAGCTCAACTCGTCCATCGATATTATCCCGCTGCAAGGCTCGAGTGGAGATTACAGATCGAGGCACATGGACAATAAGCACAGGATAGACCAAAGGCCGTTCCGGGATCAATCGTTGATCGGTCGTGTGCAAACGGTAATTTAAACTGCCCTGTCCTCCCCCTTCCC